GCTCTTCAGCCCTGGGCTGGGCTGTGCCGTCTGCTGTAGAGAGCAGGGCTAGACCCAGCCCCTCTGCTCTCTAGCCCAAGCAGGAGCAGGGGCATGGCCAGACACATCCCAGCATGGCCCCGTTAAGGCAAAGTGAACAGGGAAGGGGTTAATTCTTCCCTTCTTCCCCTCCCCACCCCACCATAGCCAGGGTCTGCCTGTCTGCAGGTGGCAGAAGGGATGGAGGGAGGAATTAACCTCCTCCCTTCCCCCATTGCCTTAATGGGGCCATGCCAAGATGGTGTCTAGCCACGCCTCCACCACTGGAGCAGTGAAGGGAGGGGAGGAGGGGCTTTATTCCCCCCTCCCTTTCCTCTCCCACCAACAGCGACCACAGCTGTCCTGGCATGGTCCCATTAAGTCTAAGGGAGCAGGGAGGCAGTTAATTAACCCCCTTCTACTGGGGGACTGTAGCTGGGCTGGATCAGCCTCTCTCCTCCCCCCTTGCTGCCACCAGATGAGGCAGGGGCTCTGTGCTGCGCTGCCTGGCCCCAGAGGGAGACTCTTACCCCTCCTCCACACCATGGGGTGGGGAGGGGGGCCCTGTGAAGTGCTTCTCAGTCCGGCCCAGCTTGGGCACGGAGAGCAGCTGTCACTTAGCTGCAGCTGCTGGGGAGGATTGCAGAATGCGTGACCCAGCCCAGCCCCACTCAGCCTCAGCAGAGGCAGCTGTGCGGTGGAGCCAGGACAGGCTGCAGGGGTGCGGGGTGGGGCCCTCCCCAGTGACTGCAGCTCTGACACGGAAGCTGAGCCAAAAAGTATGGGCAGCTCAGAGGCACCCCAGGGGCTCGTGTGTCTACAACAAGGCCCTGCGACGGGCAGCTTCCAAGCTTTGGACCCACCGGCACCTCCAAGCTGGCCTGGGTAGCCCACTGCCCGGCCAGCCGTCACCCATGAATGCCGGGCCAGGCTGCACTCACTGACAGGGCTCAGCTGTCTGAGCTGCAGCCATTGGGGAGGGCCTCACTCCCAGCCATTGGGGAGGGCCTCAGTCCCGTGGCCCAGCCATGTGGCTGCTTTGGCTGGAGCTGAGTGGGGCTAGGCCAGGCCAGGCCACAGGCACAGGGCCTTCCCCAGTGGCTGCAGCTCAGTGACAGTTACTCCCTGTGCCCAGGCTGGGCAGGGCTGGACAGCGCACAGTCCCCTTCCCCGTCCCGCAGTGGGGGGGAGGGGGAAGAGACCCCCTCTGGAGCTGGGGGTGGAGCTGTGTACCTGGATTGCTCCCAGCTGTCAGGGAGCCACTACTGCAGACAGGGCTCTCCCACACCTCTTTCTCCCTCACCATGGAGGTTTGGCCACGTTCCCTTCTGGCCAAGCTCCCTCTTCCCCAACCCTCCAAACCCTGCAGGCCAAGGTGGGGGTTTAAACCCCTCCTCAGTCATACTCAGGCTTTCTGGGGCTTGGCCACACCACCCCCTCATCTCAGCTTCCCTGTAGAAGGGAAGGGAGGGCTGCTTTAGTGCCCCCAGGCTTCT